AGGAAGATCTTCCGTCCGATGATTCACTCCCCAAGTGAGCGCAACGGGCCGATACTATGCCGATCCGAAGCCAGGAGCCTCTTCCGGGTCTCCCACGCGGGTGCAGGTTCCCAAAGCTTTGGGCTGTCCTCGACTGCTTTCCCAGGCCACAGGCAGGGAGCTGGAAGGGAAGCGGGGCTGCCGGGATTAGAACCGGCGCCCATATGGGATCCCGGGCGTGCAAGGCGAGGACCTTTAACCACTTGCGCCACCGCGCCGGGCCCTACATCCAGTTTTTCAAGTTTCCTCCACATCTGTGAGGTTGACTAATGAACTGGTGCCAAGTAAGACCTGTTCTAAGGTCTGAGTATTTATGTTGTTAACTACCTGACTTTGTCATAAGACAAGCTTTGTAAGACCTTTTTTCCTTCCAGCCACTAGGTAAGTGACCATATAGTCCTCAGCACCTGAATCCTCATGACCTCTTTGATAGTTAGATTCTATTTGGGACTTCCGTAGTTCCCACAGCATATGGGTGACTCTTGAACCACCGTGGAGTCAGTGTAGGCTTGAGCCTCTGCCCAAATTGATTTTTTTTTCTCCTCCTGAGTACAACAATTAGGTCAATGTATAGAACATTCCAGATCAAGTCAAAAGCCAGAACTGAGGCCTAAAACTCAGTAAAATTAGGAACTTCTGAAAATGTGCCTGGCTTTTGTTTATATCAGTTCAGATTAGTCACAGAGAAAAAGAAACACACTCATCTCTCAGAAAACTCCCTTAGTGTCCTCTCCCTGACTGCAAAGCTTGCTTATCTTACCTGGGTAGTAGAAGGCTCCACTGAGTGATTCAGCCAGATGATGCCCTCTCATTAAGGGGAGCAGGGTGGTAAGGTGGAGGTGGAGACTGGGCCAATGGGAAGTAGAAGAGAATCAGGCTTGAAGGAGGTGAGGAGCACCCGGGAGATTCAAGTGCTGGGGAAAGCAATCCAGGTGCTTGAGTCAGGGGCATGGAGGATTACTCAGAAATGGGTCATCCACTTACCATTTATTGTTCCCTTGGATTCAGTTTTAGAGCAGATACGAGCATAACAAAACCTACAACTTCCCCTAAGGGCAGGGCCTTGAAATAATACAAAATAAGCCTTTTCTTGTTTGAAATATCAGATCTAAAAGTTTATTTTTCCTTTTAAGGAGGCAACCTAGGGATGAGGCATGGAAAGCTCTCCAGGGCTTTTGTAGAGCACAGTTTGTACCTGGCATGCCAGTCTTAGACTTGTTGTTCCACACTCTGGACATTCCCGGAGGCCTCCAGTAGCTGACTTTAGACCTGTAGTCTTGTTCTAGATCTTGGATATGATCCATGATGCCCAAGTATCCTCAGGCTTCTCTGTAGACCGGTTCCATATTTGTCCTGGAGTCTGGCCCCTGGGGCTTTCCATGAGGAGAAAGGCAATCTGGATTAGTCTTCAGAGATTTCAGGGCTCAGCTTTAATGCCTCAGCTGAGGAACAGCCTGCCTAGTACCCCAAGTCCAGTTGATAGTGGCCTGTGATACCCATTTTAAGGGAGACAGGTGCCAACATCCCATATGGGGAACCACTTATAATTCTGGTTGCTCCACTTCCCATCCAGCTCCCCACTTGTGGCCTGGGAAAATGGCCCAAAGCATTGGGACCCTACACCCATGTGGGAGATTCAAAGGAGGCTCCTGGCTCCTGATTGGCTCAGTTCCAGCCATTATGGCCATTTGGAGAGAGAACCAGCAGATGAAAGACTCCTTCTCTGTCTTCTCTCTGTTAATCTGCCCTTCAAATAAAAATAAATGTTTTGTTTTGTTTTGTTTAAAAGAAGGTGGCATAATCGAAGGAGGTAAGCAGTCGAAACAGAAGACCCACCAGTTATGATCTTAATTGGAAGTAAGTCCTAGCTACTCTTAGAGTTGGGTCCTTTGTGAAGGTTTCTATCTGAGCTGCATGTTGTCTTCTCGACTTGCCATTTCAGCAGTTACTGAACAGTGCAGAGATGGCTGGGTTAAAAGGAGGTCGTCTGTGGTGGATCATAACAGAGTGGAGGTCAGAAACCAACACACAAGTCAGGCAGGACCCACTGACTGCTCTCAGTGGGTTTCCGGGTTTTGCTCCAGGCACCTGCAGGGGTGACCCACACCTAGACTTAGTCCAAGTTTTTGTCTCTGTTGAGAAAGGAGAAGAGTTGTAGATAAAGATCAGCAAGAAAAGAACTTTACAGAGGGAGAGCACACAGTCCATTGAGTTAGGCACCACAACAGATAGTGCTGTCCTAAGCAATGCTTCAGGCAGTCCCTTTGTGCCATCAGGAGGCAGGAGAATGGAGGAGCTGGGTCCCTTTGTTGGAAATTACCAAAGTATCATGGTGTCAGGAGCATGTTGAAAGTGGGTGTGTCAGCCATGATAACTTTGTTAAAAAGACTTAGAAGTAATTGCAGAAAACTAGCCTACAGCCATGTTGGATATTTTGAGCTGACACCAATTATTTTTATGTAGTTGAGAAGGAAACGTGGCCATGTGGACACCAATTAGGATACAGAAGGTTGAGGAATGGGAGAAAGTGGATGAGATAACTGTCTCCAATCTCCCTTTTCTTCCTGTATCTAGAGAAAGTGGGGAGGGAAAGAGAGAGGACTGCTCCCAGCAGTCCAACCACATCAGTCTCCAGGGGTGGGGAATGACTACCCAATGTCATGCCCAGGGTTCCCTATGTGGAGCATGTTCCATGGATACTGCTTAAGTGGTTTTGATAGTTCTGAGATACTGTTGAATTCATTGCTCCAAGACTAAGGAAATCCTTCCAAGGCCTATTGGCAGACGTAGTCCACCTTACAGTCTCCACTCACTCAGATACTTGCTGTCAAAACTAGGCTAGGAGAGCTGTCCAGCTTGTTCTGCCATCCATAGTACTAGATGTCTTCTGTAGGCCTTGATGAACTGGTTGTCATCTCCTCCATGTGCTCTGGACATGCCGTCTGCTGCACAGACTTCAACAACCAAGGAGACCCAGTTCAGACACATGCCATCCACAGTCAAATCACAGAACCTTTGATTTTCTGTGATTGAAGTTCTGAGTCCGGTGGTCCAGTTGGAATATCCCCAAAGAAACCTGACCCCTGTGTGTTCCAGCCTGTGCAGAGTCTGGCTCAGTCCATCACTTACAACAACTTACACACTCTGGTGGTTGAAGTCACCTGGTCAGTTCTGTCCCCAACCCCATCTCATAGCAAACCAGTAGATGCTGTGGCCCAGCTCATCCTTGCCCACCACACACACTAGTGGGAACTGCAGTCTAGTTGGGGTGACCCCCAATGGCCCCAGCAGGCTCACCCCCCAATACTGCTTGTACATGCCAGTGTGTGCTACGGACTGGTCTGGCCCATCCTGCATCCCATTTAACCCTCATACACATTACTGGCTGTTACAGGCTAACTCAGGCTGACCAACCCCACCATCCAGCCCACACTCATGCCAGTGGGTGGCATCAAGGACAGAGATCCCAGCAGCTTGGGTCTGTGAAAGGACACCATGCTCACAGACCTGCAGTGTATGCATGGACTGGCAACCGTGCCTGCTCACATCAGTATTACTTAGTATTATTTAGTATAATTATTTTTTAAAGATTTATTTTTATTGCAAAATCAGATATAGAGAGAAGATCCTCCGTCTGATGATTCACTCCCCAAGTGACTGCAATGGCCGGTGCTGTGCCGATCCAGAACCAGGAACCTGCTCCTGGTCTTCCACATGGGTGCAGGGTCCCAGGGCCCTGGACCATCCTCCACTGCCTTCCCAGGCCACAGGCAGGGATCTAGATGGGAAGTAGAGCAACCAGGATTAGAACCAGCACCCATATGGGATCATGGCACGTTCAAGGCGAGGACTTTACACTGAATAAGGCCCAGCGTGGTGGCCTAGCAGCTAATTATTAAAGTCTCAAGTAGGTCAGAAGTTAGGGCTCATGCCATAAATGTTAAGGATAAAATATCCTTACCTTTAGAGTTGATTAAAGTATAAAAGTAAGGGCCTGCCACGATGGCTCAGTGGCTAAATCCTTGCATTGCACACTCTAGGATCCTGTATGGGCCTCAGTTCATGTCCCGGCTGCTCCAGTTCCCATTCAGCTCCTTGCTTGTGGTCTGAGAAAGCAGTTTAAGACGGCCCAAAGCCTTGGGACCCTGTGCCCATGTGGGAGACCTGGAAGAAGCTCCTGACTCCTGGCTCCAGATCTCCGCTTTGGCCATTGTAGCCATTTGGGGAATGGTCCAGCAGATGGAAGATCTTTCTGTCTCTCTTCCTCTCTCTAAATCTGTCTTTTCAATAAAAATAAATCATTTTAAAAAGGCATTAAAGTAAATACTTAGAAGAAAAGTAGATAGCATTTCTCATTTTTTAAAAAAGATGTATTTTTATTATTTTTTTTTATTGGAAAGGCGGATATACAGAGAGGAGAGACAGAGAGGAAGATCTACTGTCTGATGATACACTCCCCAAGTGAGCGCAACAGCCGATGCTATGCCGGTCTGAAGCCAGGAGCCTCTTCTGGGTCTCTCATGTGGGTGCAGGGTCCCAAAGCCTTGGGCTGTGCTTGACTGCTTTCCTGGGCCACAGGCAGGGAGCTGGATGGGAAGCGGGGCTGCCGGGATAGAACCGGCGCCCATATGGGATCCTGGGCGTGCAAGGCGAGGACCTTAACCACTTGTGCCACCGCGCCGGGCCCTATAGCATTTCTCATTTTTACCAAAGCCACCATTTTCCCCCAACCTAACCATCTTTAGAACTTATTGGTTATATATTAAATATGGATTAAATAATGTGCTTGTACTCAAATTGAGATATTCATGTCACAAACAAACACAAATGGGTCTTTATGAGGGATTTGTGGAGTTTTGAAGGAAAATACCGAAAAGCTGGACTGTGAAAACCATTACTTCCTATAATGTAAAGTTGTAAGTAAATGGATCTCCTGAGTCTTTTTGTTTTCTTTCCCTTAGTACTGGATGAACGAATACACCTCATCTATTGGAATTGGAGTTTTTCATTCAGGAATTGAAGTTTATGGTAGAGGTATGTGTACACGCAATCTAAATATACTTAAAGATTTTTGTCCTTTAAAGGAATTGCAAATCATAACTAACTTAAAAGCACTTCTATATGTAATTGCAGAAAGCAGAAGAAAAATCTCCCCATATATGTCTATACCATGTTTTTAGAAAAATGCCCTAGATAGAATGCATTGGAAGAATGTACTAAAAAAATTTGAGTGTACATTCAATATCTTCTATTATAAACATTATGTATATAAACATATTTTCCTTTTCAGATTGCCATTGCAGTATTTTGCTCTAATAGGAGAGTACTCCAATAAGTTTGTAGAAAGCAGAATTGAAAGATGATAAGTTTGTTTTGGAGCAATCCAGGCATCCTAGAGGGTATTCAGAATGTTCATGAAAACAGATGTGTGTTATAAAAAGACTGGGTTTCAAAAAAAAATTTTCAGCAATATAGGTTATCTTTTAATTTCATTTCCCAGAATTTTTAAAAGAACCTTTTAGAGTTCCTAAGTAACCTTACACTTTGAAAAACAACCTGATAAAAATGAGCTAAAAGCTTCTTACCTGAAAAGGTTTGGTGCTAAAGAATGTCAGACTTGAAGAACCAGCTTCCTGAGAGCATTTTGGTTATAGATTTTGTTTCTGTAGACTTAGATATCCACAGGTCTGAGAACAGGACTAAGCCAGCCCTGCCTCTAGGTAGACCTACCATTTCTGTTCATGAATGGTAGCCTTTGTCTTCAGCTCTTTCATTTTCATTCTTGACCCTTTTATTACCCTTGATTATGACAACTGTGGTTGGGCCCACTCAAACCAGGCGCAGGTAGTTTTGTTTTGCTTTGCTAATAATTACAAAGTCAGATATACAGAGAAGAGGAGAGACAGAGAGGAAGATCTTACATTCAGTGATTCACTCCCCAAGTGACTGCAACGGCCAGTGCTTCGCCAATCCGGAGCCAGGAGCCAGAAACCTCCTCCAGGTCTCCCACGAGGGTGAGGAGTCCCAAGGCTTTGGGCTGTTCTCGACTGCTTTCCCAGGCCACAGGCAGGGAGCTGGATGGGAAGTGGAGCAGCTAGGATTAGAACTGGCACCCATATGGGATCCCAGCCCATTCAAGACAAGGACTTTGGCTGCTAGGCCACCGCGCCAGGCCCTAGTTTTGGTTTTTAAGACTTGTTTTTTATTCATTTAAAAGGCAAAGTTAGATAGGGGAGAGACAGAGATTCTATCTGCTGGTTCACTCCCCAACTGACCACAATAGTCAGAGCTGAGCCAGGAGCCTCTTCTGCATCTTCTGTGTGGGTGAAGCCATCCTGCTGCCTTCCCAGGCACAGTAGAAGGGAGCTGAGTCAGAAATGGAGCTTACATATATGAAATAAATGCCTATATAGGATGCTGATGTTGCAGGCAGCCTCTTAACCCAGTAAGACTGTGTGTGGTGTGTTTTCAACAGCTTTTTCCCTTTGTTCTGATACTCACTCTTGATGCAAGAAACTAGTAATGGTCTGCTTAATACAGATGTTTGTTGATTTGATCAGTGTTGTAGTGATGGATCAATTTGAAGCTTGTGCTGTATCCCAAATGCCTTTATTTGCATCAGCCTTGGCAATCTCTTTGATCTCTTAGAATGTATTATTGCAGTTTAGTAAGGCTTATTCCTAAAGAATACATAGTAGCTTTAACTAATGTATGGAAAAGACCCATTCACTTAAGCATGTCAGTGTAGTGTTTGTTTTTAAGTGCAGTTAGCATAGAAAGTCTTGGCTGTAAAGATCTGCCATGAAAGCTCCATTTTACTTTGAAGGCACGCCTGCCAAACAATCTCAAGATGCAGTAAGGGACTTTGGTGGAAAGTTTGAGTGTTACTTGGCTTTTGTTGAAATAGTGTGCATGTTTATTCCTTTTTAACTGGAATCTGTGCAGTATGTTTTTTGAACCACATAACTACCATGAGGCAGATGCATGCACTTCTCAAATGGAAGAAACTGCCGAGATGTATTGCCAATAATAACTTGAATTTGAGCCCAAATGTCTTACATGTGCTAGTTTTCCTTGCTCTGACCTGCATAGTCGCTGCTTCTGTTCATAAAATGATTTAGTACTAATTACAAATATTTAAAACATGTCCTTGTAAACATAGGAAAACTAGGACCAGGCATATTCTTGAATCTTAAATTTAAAAGGTAAAAGGAAGAACAGGGTAGCATGTCTCTAGGACAACCCTGTTTTGTCCAGCCATGCTCTTGCTATGACTAAAAATGTTTAAAATGCATTTACAACTTTTGTGCCCAATGTGATCTTATACATTTTGAAGTAATAAAATTGCATAAATGTTTATTTCAAAATTGAATGCTGGACATTATTTCTTATATCATGGTTTTTTCCAGGAGTTCTGAAAATAAATTCCCTGGCTGCCTTATACTCCCCTGTGCTTTATCATAAGTCCTGATAAGATAGAAATTTTAAATGTTTACTGATACTTAGCCAGTAAGTGACATACCTGAATTTTAGCCAGAAGTTCTTGTTCTTTCCTGGTCTCGATTTTTTTCTCCAGTTTTTCCAGATGAAAGTTTATAGCTGATGAGCTGCACCTGCACAGGTTACTTTAAAAAAATCAGGGAAAATGGAATCAAAGGCCTGTTCTGTTTCACACATACACAAAAAACTTGAACTCTTTGCATACAAAATCTTCAGAAAATATGTATTATATTTTATTTCCCCTTTGCTATGCATGGTTTATCCTCCTAATCTGATTGAAAGATTTGCTCTGGAGTGTACACATATATAAATTTTGGCATCTTACTCTTGAAATTCAGATCCAATGTTTCAAGTTTGGTAATGTTTCACCTTTACTGTAACATTAGCCCAGAGTCTTTTCGCAGTATTGACTTCTCCAGTGTGAATGAGTGTGATACAAGATGACTTTAATTTAGGAAGTGGCAAAGCACTGATCTGACCTCTGCCTGTGTTGGCATGCTCCTCTCGACAGTAAAAAGCAAAGCAACCAACGTTACCTTTGGTCAAGTTTCAGATTGTGGTAACTGCTGTTAGTCACAAGTAAACGGGATGTGGGGGAATCAATTCATAAACTGTTATGTGCATCGTCTGTTAATGCCAGTCCAGCATCTGGTGGAGTTTTATGAACTAATAACAATTGAGTTTTCTCGTTTCAGAATTTGCTTATGGTGGTCATCCTTACCCTTTTTCTGGAATATTTGAGATTTCCCCAGGAAATGCTTCTGAACTAGGAGAAACATTTAAATTTAAGTAAGTAGGAAGGTTAATTATATTACACTCTGAGGTGCCCAAGTTGTATTTTTGGGTGTACAAAATTCTTTCTGTAGATTAAAATTAAGTCTATTTACATTGCTGTATAAATCTAGGGAATGAAAAAAATACAAAATAAACTTCTGTTACTTTATTCAGTGTCCAGACAAGTTATGTTGTCTACTTCTAAAATGTTCAACTCAGATTCTGTATCAGAAAATTTTTATATCAAATGATTCCTTCTTCTCTATCTCCTATTTGGAGAGGAGGAAAATTTTATTGTGACTTACGTACCAGTAATAAAAATTGCTCCACTTTCCAAATGAAAGACGCTGTACATAAATTTAAAATAGCTAGGCAGTTGGCCGGGAAACTGTTGTTAAGGTACCTGCCTGCATCATGTGTAATGATGACTCCAGAGCGTGAGCCTCAGGCACAGTCAACAGCGCTGACAATCTAAATAGCCAGTAAACAGGTTGCCACTCCTTAATTAATGTTCATGTTTAAGAAATATTCAGTCTTACTTTCAAGGTGCTTTAAGAAAGTTGGGCCAATAGCAATAGTGAATTTGCCAAGAGAAAAATGGAGAAATGGTGTTTACAACATTGAAATTCAGCACAAGACTCCATACTACCAAATACGTGATTTTCTTATCACTGAATTGAAATATTTACTTAAAAGTAAATGCCACTCATAGAAGTGTACCACATGTCATCATGACTCCATTCTGGTGGTTTCTTTTTTGGCAAAGCCACCTGATACAGGGTACTTTTGGCTTTCTTGGATGCCTAACATATCTAAGTGAAAATATAGCCAACCTTTCAATGGCTAGTCTGATTAAGCAAAAATATTTTTAGCAAGGATCTGGGTTTCATAATGTAACTAATAGTTTTTAAAATAAATATGATGCTTTTTATGTAACAACATCTCATTTTAAAAAAAAACCAACTTGTGTATTTTTGGTGCTCAGAAGTAGTATATTTAAGAGTTTATTGCAGAGGAAAAAAAATCTCAACTGAATTTGATCTGTGGTAATGCAACAAGATGGAAGAATTCACCCTGCGGAGGGGGGGAGGGCGGGTTTTGGGGAGGGGAAGGGGAAATCCCAGTGCCTGTAAAACTGTGTCTCATGATGCAATGTAATAAAAAATAATAATAATAATAAATAAGCAAACAGAGAGGGGGAAAAAAAGTTTATTGCAGAATAGTAAAAAAACTAAACCATATGTTTTGATTACCTTACTATATTTATCCTGTTTAAACATGTTATCGGATGGCTAGAAATAAACAAGTGCTTAAGCATGCTACTTACATAAGTACCTGAAAGTCACACAGATGTATTCTTTCTTTCTTTGTTCTTTAAGAGAAGCAGTTGTTTTAGGAAGCACTGACTTCCTAGAAGATGATATAGAAAAAATTGTAGAAGAACTGGGAAAAGAATACAAAGGCAACGCTTATCATTTGATGCATAAAAATTGCAATCACTTCTCTTCAGCTTTATCAGAGGTAAATTAAATTGTGTCCTCAAGGCTCTTATGCTAAATAGCATAGCTATCTCCTGATTGTTTACATTGTATAAAAATATGGTTTTGTATTTCTTACATAAATGACTTACCAGTGTTGCCAGTTTTTAAATGGTAATTCCATTCATTTCTTTGTAGTGAACAGAGAGCAAGTGCAGATAATTGCCTCATTTATTTTATTGCAACCCGAAAATTTCACATTAAAGTAAGTGCCTGAGAGACTTCTGCTTCTTGGCGATTGAAATCTCCCTTGGGTGTGGGGAGCCTTTGGCGCGGTAGTTACTGTGCCACTTGGGACACCTGTCTTCCTTGTCAGAGTGAGTTCGACTGCTCACACACCCTGGGATGCAGCAGGCCTCAGCTGACCCTGTGAAAGACCTCAGTTGAATTCTAGGCTTCTTTGTGGCCTGGTGCCCGCTGCTGTGGGTATCTGGGGAGTGAACCAGTGGATGGAAAAGGAAGATTTCTGGGTCGGTGCCTTTCAAATAAATAAAAAGTAAAATATTAGCAAGATGAATTTTGAGAATAAATTCTTTTCAGATTTAAAGTTTTATTTTGCTAGCCTGTGACATAGGCTTTCCCAGTTCTTAATTCCAAGCAGAAAAAGACTAGATCAAAATAGACTAAGAGGGGCCAGTGTGGTAATAGTAGATTAAGCTGCTATCTGTGGCATCAGAATCCCAGGTGGGTGCGAGTTTGAGTTCAGGCTGCCCTACTTCCAATCCAACTCCCTGCAAATAGCCTGGGAAAGCAGTAGAGGATGGCCCAAGTACCTGGGCCCACAGTGGAGACCTAGATGCTTCAGCATGGCCCAGCCTGGTCCCTTGTGGCTATTTGGGGAATGAACAAGTGGGTGGAACATAGAACACAAGGAGAAAATGAAGAGAAGAAATCACGAAGATCGTACTGTAAAGCCTTGAGAATTTTAAATAACACTTGAAATGCCTCCTGCTCTCTGCTCTTGGCAAGTGATTTACATCAAGGCTCTGCAGAAGGGGTGAGGAAGATGAGCTGATATTTCATTGGCTCTATGTTCAAAATATTTTACTTTTGGGCCTTTTTTTAAAAAGATTATTTTTATTTGAAAGGAAGATTTACAAAGAGAGAAAGATCTTTCATCCTCTGTTCCACTCCCTAAATGGCAATGACTAGAGCCTGGAGCTTCTTGCAGGTCTCCCACATGGGTGCAGGAGTCATCATCCCCTGCTACTTTCCAAGGTCACTAGCAGAGAGCTGGATCGCAAGTAAAGCAGCCAGGACTCTAATTAGCACCCATGTGGGATACGGTACCACAGGCAGACACTGAACCTGTGCCATAGTGCCAGCCCACCTGGCCTTGATTCACTTCCCTGTGGCTTCTACAACATAACTGACACAGGATTGTGAATTGTCTGTTTCTGTGCAGTTCAAGGTCTGCTTCGTGGACTAGCATCATCTAGGAATTTGAGATGCTCTCATCTCTGCCCCACCACAGATGAACTCTTTATCTTACCCAGCTCCTCCAAATGATTCACATGCTCGTGAGACTGTCAAGGACCCCTAGTCTCGGATAGCTTGATACTGTAGAGATCACCTAGTCAGCCTTCAAGGCAGACAAGCAGGCCTGAGCCCTCTTGACACTGGACATTACACTGTTGTGGAATTCATCCCAAGATTCCTAGAATAGTAAAATTGACAGAGCTAACATTGTGTAAACCATCATTCTATGTAAGGCAAATAGGTTCCAACTGGGAAAGTCGCACCAAACATTATTAGGGAGAACCAAGGAGTGGCTCTAACCTCGTTCCAGTGTAGCATTTCTTCTTTTAGATGTCCCTAAATTAAATTTACTATCAAAAACCATTTTACAGCTGGGATGTGAAAGAATTCTGGATATCCCCAAACCATGTTCTTAGGCCACAATTTTCATGCTTTTCCTCTCTTGGGTGCTAAAACTGTTAATGATAACTGACCCCAAAGTTAAGTGACTTAACCAGTGCCAACCAGCTTAAAGTTTGGCACCTCTAAGATAGTTATAGTATTGTGCTCTCACATCTCTGCCAATAAAGTTTGAAGATGTGTGCCATCTAATTACACACAAACAGCATAGTTGATTTTAATTGGTTGCTGATGTCAGCCTTGCTCCAAAACGTACTATTTTCATCATGTAACATCACAGTGTTATAAGTTTAGACACCTCATAAAAGGGCTTAGCAAACACTAGCCAACCATCTGGTTTCCCACAAGCTTACAAGCCAGATAGTTAAATTTTTTAAAAGGTTGTTAAAAAAAAAAAGAGGAATATATGGTGACATACATAAATTATGTGAGCTTCAAATCCATGTTATTGGAATGCAGCCATATTTTTAACCAGTTGACTGATGACAGGTGTCAACAGCAGACTAGTTGTGACAAAGATCCATTGCCTACAAAGACAAAAAGATTTTACTTGGTGACCTTATACAGAAAAAGTTTGCCCACCTCTAAGTTAAATCCATTTAGACCTGATTCCAGTTGTCTTGAACAAGGAAGAAACATAATTGTCCTAGGAAATAGTAGATCCAAAGTGAGGCAGGCTGCTTGTCGGGATGGGCAGTGTGTGCTGCCAGGGCTCCTCTCCTCCTCCCTCTCAGGTTGCCATCTTTAGCATGCTGACCCTGCCCGCAGATTAGCTGCCGTTATGGACTGCAGACACCTGCAGCAGTTTGAAGTGCAGCCTCCAGAGGAAGGAAGAAAGCTGTCTCCCTGTGCTTCTCTCAAACAGTGAAGCTGTTTTCCAGAACCTCCCTTTTTACCTACCCTTCTGAAAGCAGGCCGTGTTTCTAGCCAGAATCAGCTCAGAAAGCCAGTTCCAAACTGATCCCTAGCACGAGGACTGTCACAGCACAACTAAATGCCATTGAGCAGAAGGAAGTCTGCAAGTTCGTGTTTTCAGTGGGGATTGTAAAAGGTGTGCAAAGGTGAGGGCTTGTAGAATCAGCCCTTTATAATCTCAACACTGTCCAGATTTCAGGAACTGTCATTTTGAATCAATCTGAACAAAGTCCAGTAAACTAATGACCCTGAGAGACTGTATGGAAAAGACAGAATAAATAACCGATTCTTCCCCTTTTCTTAGTGGTCTCAGTGAGTGGATTCCTGTGTAAGAAGAGCGATAGCACTGCAGGCTTGAGACTGCTGTCTGTAGAAAGGTTTCCTCAAGGTTGTCTCAGTTGGCATCTAGAAATTTGAGAGTTGCAAGGTTTCTCATGCTTCCTGGAACTGACAGGAGTGATTCACTGTTTGCACCTGTTTGTGCAGATTATTAGGCTTATGCTAAATATCTCCTTTTCTTATGGGGACATAACTAGATAGCTGGATAACTTGAGCAGAGTCTGTTATGAATTTGCCTAGTAGGACTTAGGACTCATTGCCTTTCTCTGTGATACCTTGGGAGTGAACTCTTCAAACTCGAAGCTGGCTTCCTCTAGATCAAATGACTCATGGGTCCCTTCAGGTATCTGAGCAGAAATCAGAAATAGAGAAGGGCTTACCCAGGACAGCTCTGTGGAGGAATGCTCGTTTCATAATTTCGAGCCTACAATGTTTGAATATTATATCAGCAGTAATGCTGCCAACCTAGCCAAAACGAAGTGAGACTTGGGATTCTAAACGTTGTACGGGTCTGGGAGAAAAAGGGAGGCTGATTTCAAAGGCCAGAATCGGGACACAGAGGGCTGTAAGAATGACCAGAAAGGTCACTCCCCAAGCGGCTGCAACGGCTGGGGCTGAGCCAGCCCAAAGCCAGGAGCCTGGAACCACTTCCAGGTCTCCCACATGGGTGCAGGGTCCCAAAGGCTTTAGGTCATCCTCCACTGCTCTCCCAGGCCACAAGCTGGGAGCTGGATGGGAAGCAGGGCAGCCAGGATTAGAACCAGCGCTATGCTATTGTGCTGGGCCCTGAAATGGGAATCTTACAGCAGTTATTTCTGTGCCTCTGCCATCATGATAGCCCAGAAATATTGTGTATGTACTTTCTCCATTTGACTTTTTTACTTAGCAGTACAGTAGTGCCCCCTGACTGTAAAGGGATGTGTTCCAGGGCTCCTTTTGTGGATGCTGGAAACCTATGGGTGGTCCTGAACCATGCCTACATGGTTGCTCTTTCCTCCTACACATACACATCTGTAATGAAGTCTGATTTATACATTAGCAACAGTAAAAGGTTAGTAACTGAAAATAGAATGATTACAGCAGTATGTTATGTGCTCTTTTTGTCATGCAAGAGTCAAGACAGGTGTTTAGATTTTTCAGACTTCAGTTGGCCTCACATAGCTGCAGTCGCAGGAGGCGATAAGATGGGGCTATTGCACTGCATGAACAGGTGCTTGTTTTGTAGCAATATAAAGATATTCCTTATTTTTCAGCTCAGTAGCCCTCATGTGGAGATACCATAGTTTATTCAACCAATTTCCTTTTAATGGCAGTTTTTAAAAATCTTTTGCTATTAACCAAAAAAAAAAAAAAATGCTGTAATGAGTAACACTGTGTATCTTCGCTTTTTCTCTGGGATAGATTCCTAGAATAGGGATTGCTAGATTGAAGTTTAACTACATAAGCAGTCTTGCTCTATCAGCCAAATATGATTTTATCACTCGTCACAGTAAGAAACACATTATGCACACACATAACCCCATGCACAGCTAAAGCAGGTGTCACAGTTACCTCACAGTGGAGTTAGTTTTTAAAATTTAGGTGGTAGTGCCAAGTGATGTATCAGTGGGTCTTGACTCAGAATCATAAAGTTTTAACTTGCCCTAAGGATTGGCACATTTTTTTAAGCATGTGAACTATCCATGGCCTTGATTCTGTCTCTACTATTGTAGCCCAGAAGCCTCAGGCAGCACAAAAGCAAATGGGCATGGCCTTGTTCCAGTACAACTTTGTCTACAAAAATTGGAGGCTGTAGATTGTACAACTCTGCTCTAGGCTATCAAAGTACACTCAGGATTGGGATGAAGTTAGTTCCACCTGTAAAATGGATATATGGAAGAGGGTAGATTACTGAATAAAACTAAAACTTGGGGAAAATAATGGGCAAATAACTATGGTTTAGTTAACAGTGGCTTGCATATTCTAGGCACTTATATGATTAACCTCCAGATATGCAGATACCCCTAAATTTATCTCAGACAAAAATATATTTTCTGATATTTTTTAAAGTAGATAGGAATGATATAGAAAGATTGTTAGGCTTTTTTCCCCAGTTAAGACACACATGTTTGAAGACCTAAACCTTTAGAGAAATCAGAAATGCCAGCTTATTTAAATTTTAGCCAATTTTTGAGTATAAAATCTCTCCAGTTCATTAGCCAAGATGTGCAGTGTCTAAAATGGCCCTTTCATAATCCATCATCTGGAAGCAAAACCCCAGAGTGGTAGTGGCACACAAGCTTAGTTTAAGCCCAGGAGGAGAAGGGAAAGAGGGTGGTAAAGAGTGAAGTTATTATTAGGAAAAAACAAAATTCTGGAGCTAGTGATATGGTGTGGTGGGAAAAAGCCTTTTCCTGCAACACTGGCATTCCACATAGGCACCAGTTCAAGGCCTGCTACTCCACTTCCAATTGCTCCCTGGTTGTGCACCTGGGAAAACAGTGGGAGATGCCCAAGTCCTGGAAAAATTCAAAAGAACCTCCAGAATCCTGGCTTTAGCTTAGCATAGCCCCACCCATTGCAGTCATTTAGGGAGTGAATCAGCAGATGGAAAATCTGTAAAAGAAGGTCCCAGTAATAAAGGTGATGGGAACTGCATTACTCTAAGGATGCGACGTGGGCAAGCGCTCGACCCATCGCAAGAGGGATTTAAGGGCTGCTGGAGTCTTCAGACTGAAGCTTGGCCAGGCTTCTAGGGCTTGCTCAGCCCAGAGCCCTGCCACTGCAAGGGGTCACAGCCAGGTCTTCCTTTGAGAAAACAGTTACCGTGTACTTTCTTGAAACAAGTGGATCAGAGACAGAAGTGCTAGGAGACTGGAGAGAAGTGGAGAAGAATCTGAAAACGGGGGAAATTCACAAATAGAACATCCACAACCAACTGTTGTGACTGCCTGGGTCTTCTGCAGTAACAAGTGTGTTAAACAAGCTACCTCCTGTGAGATTCACAGTACTTTGACATGTATCTCAAAGAAGCTCAGAGATCGGAAAGAATGCAGCCCAGCAGAATTAGCTTGCTTTTACCATTGTAAAAAGACAGGAAGACAAGGCGCCAACAGCAGGGGTCCCAGAGCTGCAACCCTCCAAGTTGTGCCTCTCTCCCGCCTCCTGGGCAGAGTGGGCCAGCCCACCTTAACCCCTCACACCTAACAGAATTCTTTGTTCTCTGTAGATTCTTTGTGGGAAAGAGATTCCTCGCTGGATCAATCGGCTTGCCTACTTCAGCTCCTGCATACCCTTTCTACAGAGTTGCCTCCCGAAGGAGTGGCTCACACCAGCAGCCCTGCAGTCCAGTGTCAGCCAGGAGCTGCAGGATGAACTGGAGGAGGCAGAGGATGCTGCAGCAGCCGCTTCTGTGGCAAGCGGTGCAGCAGGCTCCAGGCCTGGGCGCCACACTAAACTATAATTGTCTCCAAAGTCACACCCTCAGAACTGTCTCTGGCAGTTGAATATCACTAGAGAAGAGTTAACAGAGTAAGCGTCCTTTGGATATTTTGTATGCAAAGATAGCTCTCCCCCAAATCCCAGTTTTTCAGCTCAGGATTATATTTGTAATCAAAAAAAAAAATCACTTGGCGCAGGAGGGAGAACTTTGTACGAAGCTGCCCTCTGGCTTTTTTACCCACTTGTAAATTTGGATTTACTTCTTCTGTTTTATACAAGCTCTGTTAAGTTATGTTTACAGTATTTTGTATCGCTGTTTACAAATCTTGCATGGACTCCTGCCACCGTGAAAAGAAGAGAATCTTCATGTCTTCAAAAATTAGGCAGGTAATCTTGGTACACTTCTGACAGTTGCCAGAGCCATGGCATACATAATAGGCACACTTCACGCACATGGTTAGAGTCCCCGTTCCCTGCTTACGGAGTGTGTTAGGTCTGTTTATTTTCTTAACGTTGTGGGCACCAGGAAGCCGAGAACCGTACCAGCCAGAGGTGAGGGGGCACAGCTTGGGAGCATGAGCCCGGTGCCCCTGGCACTTTGTCCCCTCAGAGTAGCACATGATGCTTTCACTCCAGTGTCTGTCCACAGAGGCAGGGTGGGGCAGCCTGGTGTCTGTCTGGCTTTGATACCTCCGATTCTATACTTCAGTTGTTTTTTGTTAAAGATTCGTACAGTAACTGACAAGTGTTTTTGCACATGTTTGCGGGGAGGAGCTTCATTTGTATTCATACTTATTTCTTCCCTGAACAGGGTTTTGTTGACGGGGAAGAATATCTTAAGCGTAGCCTTTTGAGTAGCAGTATGAGTTGACATTCAACTGCTTTTAATTATACAGGCTACCTTTTATACTAGACCTTGAAACCTAAAGTAACATATCCCAAAAAGATTATTCTTTAATATTTCATACCTTTTATGTCCCGTATCAGAAAGAATCCGTCAAGGGTTATTAGTTTTTTATGGGAGTAGTTTGACCTCATAATAAAATGCCTAGTCTCATTGACTTCTGTTTGAAAATCTTTTGTCTTAAAAATTCCATCTTTTATGTTTTCTCAAATGTACGTCTTACACAGCATACCCTAAGATTCTTGAAGTTGTCATCACAGATAAATCCTTGTTAGCAAGGAATCTGTCTGCCTGAGTCTACTCCCAGTTAGACCCTCGGATGTAAGAACCAAGTCATTCCATGTGAAATTCACTTTTTCTGCCTTAAGAATGAATGTCCTACGTAAAATATTGGATGCAGTGTATAAAAAGGCAGTGACTTCAGCTTTATAAATATATGGCTAGTGTTAGAGTTATCTACATTTATTTAATCTTTTAGATTGGATTGTTTGCTATTGCTCTATGTGAAGATACATATCTTTCAGTAAACTACACTTATAACTTTTCCATAAGCTGATTTTGACTCATTTTATCAACATAAGCACACCCTGTTCATAGGGAAAATAAACCTTGGGTTAGAATCATTGGCCTGAGGAAAATGAAGCCACTTATTTACGCTAATTGACTGTTCTGTTTCCAGAGAGGAAAGCCTTTGGTTCTTTTGGGGGCAGAGCACTTGTTTTGAGAGATGTGATGGAAGGAAGGGAGGAAGTGTGTGGTCTTTAGGAAATGTTGACTTGGTTCAGGTCTCAAATGAGATTTGGACCAAAACGGTAAGGCTCTAGCAGTGAGCAATTCACTGAAAACAGTCCTGCCGCCAACCCAGGCTGGGAGGGAGTGTCCAATGCTTGGGTTTTTTTCCACGAACATATTGGATTCCAGTTTTTCTAATTCATTCAAGTAGACACTGTTTACACCTGCACTCCTGGTAGTTGGGAGCACCTGACACTAGACATTCCATGGTGAACTGCCAGGACATCCCATCTGTGCTGATCGAAACCCAGCAACTCAGCACAGTCACCAACTCCACTGGTTGGTGTGTCTCATCCGCAGCATCTGGAGTTTAAGAATAGTGTAGAATCCTAGTAAAGTTAAGTGATGGCTACGTCTAATGTTCATACTAACGATCAGCCGACAGAATTCTGGACAGGAATTGCAGTCTACTTGTACCTTGGTCTGAGAAACAAAGAAATAGCTTAATTTAGAAAATCTTGGCTTGAGTCAGGTCCTTTTCTGCATAGTTCAAAGTGAGAATGGATTTAATTGCCATTTAACCAACCTTTCCTTTGCCCATGGAGGAGAACAATCTAGTGCTTAGCCTGATCTCAGTTGAGAGAGAGATTGTCTCAAAAATCCAGTCAGGACTACACTAGTGTAAGATGGAGTCTACACTCGTGGCATGGACAGTGACAGAGGGTTTTGAATACCTTTGAGTTTGTTGTAATCCTAAGGGAGCGTCGGCCTTGGAAAGCAACTTCTGAGACTGCGGAAGGTGGGAGCTGGGGGGGCGGGTACATGACACAGAGCCTCCACTTAATGCCTGAACTCCAGCCAGCCAGAGCTCTGAGCCAAGCAATAGTGCAAGTTACCCATCACCAGCATTCATACAGAGCAGGGATTCTGGCTTTCAGCAGGTGACCCCGGGGTGTGTAGGCAGAGGTTGACTGCCACAGACAGCTCCAGGACTCTATCCATGACATTTCTCCCACCACAAAATGGGTAGAAACATGGTTCCTGCTTCAGGGCTCTGATCGGTGTCTTTGCTTATGACTCCATTTCTGTGGGGCGCAGTGTAATTTTGGAACTTGCCATGTTTTCCTTATAATCTCCTAAGTTTAAAAGACTTGAGTTGTGTTCAGCAGGCGGTCGCACTGCCATTGTCACCCCCTCTCCTTCAGTATGGTTTTCGAGTACAGCTCCAGACTTCAGCGTCTGCTTGGTTGGCCCATACCATCTCCACTGTCTGAAAAGTGTTAAGCTGTCAGAGTCTTCATGGGCCAGAGGGTAATTTCTTGTGAAGTTGAATGCAAGTGTACTGTCATTCATAGTGTTTATATATTAAAATACCAGGAATCTTCACTTTTGCTACCTTGATATAGCATTGGCTATCATGTTACAACATTGAAATACATCAGTTTATTAAAAAGGTACTTTTGTAAAAAATGTCGCCCGGTGTTGTCTGACTCTCAGATGGCTGTATGCTTAATGTGTCGGAACTGGGACAGGGAGTGCAATCTTTAAAATCCAAGAGTCCCATCTGCTGTGCAAGGACACAGCAACTTCCTCTCCCTCTTCCTTCCCGAAGCAGCAAGGGAGCAGGAGCCTGGGTGAGTGGGCTCCTCTCGCATGGAAGTGTGCTACTTCTGCTTGGCGCCCCCCGCCTTCGTCTCTGGAATTGCCATTACATAAATGAATGACAGTCCTCTAGGGTTTGTTACAGCTGACCCACTGACTAGCAAAAATGATGTACCAAGTCATTTTGTTCTCACATGCCTAAGAGCATGTGCCTAAGAACAGGTGTTAGGCCCACGTGCCCTGTGAATGCCCAGGTTCAAGTGCCGACTGCATTTCCAGTTCCAGCTTCCTGCTAATGCACATCCTGGCCCAGCCAGTTGGGTCCCTGCCACCCACATGGGAGAAGCAGAATGACTGTCAGTCTCTTGATCTCTCCCAGCTGTTGTAGGCATCTGGTGACCCACTGGATGAAATGACTCTCCCTCACCCCTTTCAAATAAATTTAGACAGGAGCCCTGGGGCCTGACACTGTAGCCTAGTGGCCTAAGTCCTTTCCTGGCATGTGCTGCGATCTCATATGAGTGCCAGTTCATATCCTGGCTGCCCTGCTTCCCATCCAGCTTCCTGCCTGTGGCCTTGGAAAGCAGTCAAGGATGCCCAAAGCCCTGGAAACCTGCACCCATGTGGGAGACCCGGAAGAAGCCCCTGGATCCTGAGTTCAGATTGGCTCAGCCCCAGCTGTTGCGGGCACCTGGGGAGTGAACCAGCAAATGGAAGATTGTTCTATCTCTCCTCTCTGTAAATCTGACTTTCCAATAAATGAATAAATCTTTAAATAAAATTAAAAATGTATTTAAGGAGCCCAAAGAGAACTCTTACCACCTAGTGTAGTACAAGATGCTAATAATAGGCTGTAATGAGGTTGCCAGTTCAAGTTTGACAAAGTCACTCGAGGGTCTTTTGTACAGGAAAGAATGCCAAGTACACTGGGAGTAATGATTTTCCCATTGTCCCCAAACTTGGACCTGGATAACAATCATATTCTAACTTTGTAGAGGACTGTGCTCAAACAGCTCTGTGCAGTTCTCCAAAAGGTATGTTGATGACACAGGCATTTAGTACTTTCCAGATTAAAAACCCAGACAACAGCTGGGCCCTTTCCCTAAGGAGAGAGAAGTCCTTCACCCGCTCGGGGAGGGGTTCATTCTCCAGAGCCTGGGGGAGCCCTCCCGAAGTGTGGGAGTGCCATGGTCAGGAAGACCACGCCCCTCCCTTGCTGTGGAGGGCTGCAGCAGAGCTGCCATCCTCGGGGGGCCTCCTGAGCCCCCCACCACCAGTCTTGACACTGGGAGAGTTGCCTAGTTCTGGGGTGTGCTGCGAACACTTCATAGGCCTCACAGGCAGTTAGCTTGCCAGCTTGTGTGCCTCACTCCCCAAACTTAAGGTGATTTGTGGGGTTTGGTACTTGGGCCAGTTCACCTGGCACCAAAGCCCAGGTTGGGCCACAATGGCAGGCTGGCCTGTGGCTTGTGACCAGGTGGACTCACCAGTCAGCCACTGCCTCAGGAAAGTGGAGCACCCTGGAAGAGGGATGGATGTCGGACAACACACGACAGTTTCTGCAAAGGACCCTCCCTCTAGATGGGCTGCGCGAGGCAGGGCTGCCAGAGTTGGCCCTAAAGCAACAGGTGACTCATGCCTGGGGTCAGCCGGCAGTGGTGGCAGAAACGCCCTGGCATTGGCTCCCTGGCGAGCAGTCAATAACTCACAAATACCCAGTCAGCACAGAGTAAGGTTGCACCTCACCTTAAAAGGCTGCACACGTTGAAGACAGAAAAGGAAAATTGGTTCCAGCTGCGTTCTGGGGACCATGCTGTACACTTGGCATCCATAATGTTCAGTCTATTCTCTCAACAGCCATAATTTATCCAAAACTAAATAAGTGGTGGCAAAGGAAAAGCCTGAATTTTGGACCCAGCCAGTCAAGTTTCCACTGTCCTATTCCAGCCTGGAGTATTCCTAAAATGATAAATCCTTGGCCCACTCCAGATGTGCGGACAGGGCCAAGCATTTCAGTAAGATCATGAGGTCACGTGTTACTATTTGGGTAACACTGAATTATTCCATGAGGGACTGTTTGAATGCAGTCTGAAGGACCTAATAAGTCGGCCCCCTTCTAAAGTACAGAAGAGTGGTGGGATTTTGTAAACTGTTACTGGTTTGCCTCAGTCCACAGAAATTATTCAGAGTCCTTACCCACCCCACACCAATAAATATGGCAGAAACCCCCCCCCGGAGTCACTACAGGGAGCAGTTGCATAGAAGGCCCGGATCCATACACTCAGGGTGCTAAACTAGGTTCCCCTGGCATCCAGGCAAGAAAGGCGAGGCTAGCCCCGCTCTGCAGCCATCTAGTTCAGGCATCCCAGGCCACCCGCTTCTTGCTCCCCTCCCTTGCTACTCTGTGCATGACCACCTCCACTGGCCACCACTGTACCTCCAGAACTCCCAGTGCGGGACAAATGGACTCCGAGTCTCTCCACCTCCCATTGCTGCTTCCAAAGCATCAGTTCTGTCCAGCCTTGCCTCTCCTCCCCTGCATTGCCACCGTCTACTGCTTGCTCCCCTCGCGCCCCCGTTTCTTCCTTCCCAGTCCTTCCCTGTCATCTTTAGCGAGCTCACATACATATAGATGACTCCTCAGGCCCTAGGCCTGGTGCTTCTCAACTTGGGGGCTCTTGCCTTCTGGGGCAGGGATAATTCCTTGTACTAGACAATCTACATGGAATGTCAGCTCTATGCCCTGCCTGCTTCAGCCATGCCCCGAAATCTGCATCTCAGTATCACCAGTAACTTGCATGTCCCATTCTAACATGGGCTTCCAACTATTTCAGACCGCTGACCCCAGCTCACCCTGGACCCAGCACTGCAGCCAGTGTGACCCTGTCAATGCGCCCGGGTCTGCCTTTTTCACCCATTCCAGCTTCATTCTCCTCCTCCCCCGCTTCCTTAGCCTAAATGCTGCAGTCACTGCACCCCCTTCTACAGAGTGGCCTGGCAAACCCTAAACCTCTTGGGCCAGAGCCATCAGGGAGCAATGAGATGACCAGACTGACTGCCATGATGGTAACGCCCTTGCCTGCCCAGCACACCAAGGCCTGTGTCCTTGCAGTCTGCTCTTCACGCTTCAGGCCTTCCCACTTATTATATCTGCCGTGCTTGCAGTGAACCCCACCCTATGCTTCAGTTAAAAACGCAGGGGTAGGCACTGAATGAATGGCTAGGTCACTGATTGGAAAGGCCACATCCCCTGGCAATGTCCCTGAGTTCAGTGCTCAGCTCTGCTCCTGAGTCCAACTTCCTGCCAATCCACATTCTGACAACAGCAATAATGGCTCCCATCGTGACCCCAGCCCAGCCTTGGTCATTGTGAGCATTTGGGGAACGAACCAGCAGTTGGAAACCTGTTCCCATTCCCTCTCTGTCTCATCACCTTCCCAAAAGAGTGTTTTGTTAGAGGGGTGGGTGTTTGGTTTGGTAGTTAGGATGCTGCTTGGAACACCTACAACCCATATCAGTGTGTGGTTCAAGTCTCAGCCCCATTTCAACTGGAACTTCCTGATCGCACACCCTCTATTCAAGTCAGACACGTGGGAGACTCTGTTGGGGTTCTGGCTCCTGTCTTCAGGCCGGCTCAGCCCCAGATACATTTAGGAAGTGAACTAGCAAGTGAAATCGCTACCTCTCCTTCTAACCCTCCCTCTCAAAGAGAAGGAAAATGATTTTAAAAGATGAAAACAGACCATTTTGGCAAATGATCTGCAGTATTCCCATCTATCCGAGTGTGTTCCCGAATCACTGGCCCTGGGACTGGGGCAGCGGCCGCAGCTCATGCGGCCTGGCTCCCCTCTTGTCACCCTTGATCCTGCCACCCCTGTCCCTGGCTCCTACAATTACTTCCTGTTGTTTAAACTTAGTCTCTCCCCTGTCTCATCCCTAGAAAAATATAATATGGTCTGGGGATTCCTCATCTAGAAACCCAAACAAAACCCATCCTAGAATCTTTCTAGTGTGTGATGAAATATTTTTAAAGATGTATTTATTTGAAAGGCAGAATTAGAGAGGGAGGGAGACAGAGCACTTTTCCCTCCACTGCTTCACTCTCCAAATGGCCCCCACAGCCAGAGATGGGACAGTCTGAACCCAGGAATCTCTTCTAGGTCTGCCACGTGGGCACGGATCCGAGCACCCGAGCCATCTTCCACTGCTTTCTCAGGCACATTAGCAAGGAGGTGGATCAAGTACAACAATTGCATCCCATTTGGGATGCTGACACCACAGGTGGCAGCCTTACCCACTAAGCCGTAGCACTGCCCCATGCTAGAAGTGTATGTGGTAGAAGAATAAATGCGATTGGTTGTGTGATATGGAGTTCCTGCTATGTGGAGCTTCTAGGGCTAAAAAAGGGGAGAATCCAGGGAATCAGGAAGAAAGATTAACTTTTTATGGACCTGTAAGTGTGGGCTTTGAGATGGCCGACCTGCTGCAAATTCTGATTAAACTGTTGACAAGGTGCTCTTGGACGAAGTCAAAGGTTTAAAAAAATGTACGTCTGCACAGCTCAAGCTCCTACCACTTTCAGTATCTCACTCATGATTCTTGAACACACCTTGATTGTGAAATATACATGCATAACAATGCAGAGGGGCCAGCATTGTGGTGTAGCAGGCTGGGTTATGGCTTGCAATGCCAGCATACCATATAGATGCCAGTTTGAATCCAGGCTGCTCCTGTTCTGATCTAGCCTTCTGCTGATGGCCTGGGAAGGCAGCGAAGGATGGCCCGAGTGTTTGGGTCTCTGTCTCCACGTGGGAGACCTGAAAGAAGATCTGAGTTCCTGGCTTCTGTCTGGCATAGCCTTGGCCAT